TTTTCATCATTCCTAAAATACAGACCTACCCTGATCAAGAAGACTTTTTTTTGTTGTTCTTTTTGAGTTTGCTTTTTGTTTTCCTCAAGATAGATGATGTTATTGTTGTATTCTGTCTTTCTAGAGCTACTTGTACCAGTGCAATGTGGATGTAAAAGTATCATTGTTCTGAATAGACAGTTTTACAGTCCATTTTTGGGGAATAAGAGTATAAAGCTTTTTCAGTTTTCTGTTATCAGGCAGCTGAACAGAAAACATTACTGTCTGACCTTTATATTAACAAGACTAAATAAAAACACAGATGGTTTCTACTAAGTGATGGAACTGAAAGTAATGATGTGCTATCTTAAGCCACTGTCCTGCAAAATCAGAGACCAGGATAAACAAAAATCTGATTATTCTAGCTGAGTAGCAGGGATGGAATAAATATGTCCACTCTCGATGAATCCTTGTCTACTCTGAAAAATTGAGTCATTTTAAAGAGTGGTTGTCAAGAATAAGTCCCTTTGAAGTACTGCTGGAAATAGCAAGATTAGATGTCATGGTTTTGTGATTTTTGGTTTTCAGTATTCCACATCATAATATCATGTGGGGCACTGGACAAAAAATTTAACATCATTTGGGAAAATGCTCTTGAGACATAACTTTTTTGGGAGAAAGGAGGACAAGAGATGGAGAATAAGACCCAGAAATGTCACGTATTTGAAAGCCATAGAAGTTTCAGTGGTCCAGAGAATAATGAAATAAGAGCAAGGGACATTTTGTGTACTTCACTAACCAATATGTTTTGCATTCAGAATGAACCAAAGACCAACTTCAAAATATTGTAGAATATTTTGAATATCAAATATTAATCAAAATACTGTATTGTCATTTTTTTTCATACCTGAGATTGGAAAGTAAAAATAAAAGGTTGTATATGTATTTAGAAAGATTTAATAGGTTCATATAGTTTCATTTAGAAATGATTGAAGTTAATCTTTATTTGATAGTAATTCTACTTAACAATAAATATAAAATCAAACTAGCATAAAATGAATGACTAAACTTTTTTTTTACTTTTAAAAACATAAAGGCATACAACATGTTTGATATTTTATATCCAAATTGCATCTGGTTGTTACTTGTACTTAGATATAACAAAATAAAAAGCTGTTTCCTTTAACCCAGAGTTTTAACATTAAAAATATTCAAGAATTATACCATTCAACCTAATCATACTTAACCCTTATAAAAATACAAAAAAAAAAAAACCAAATCCAGAAGCCTACTTTTTTGCAGTTGTCAGTAGTTTTATGGAATCATAGAATCATGGAATCATAGAATCACTCAGTTTGGAAAAGACCTTAAAGATCATCAATTCCAACCATGACTTAACAATATTACCGTAACTCTAACAACCCTCTGATAAATCATGTCCCTGAGCAGCACTCCAAAGGGTTTTTAAACACACTCGGGGATGGTGACTCAACCGTCTCCCTGGTGAACCTATTCCAGTGCTTAACAACCCTTTCTGTAAAGAAGTGTTTTCTGATATCCAACTTAAACCTCCCCGGGCACAACCTGTGGTCATTACCCCTCGTCCTGTCACCTGCCACCAGTGAGAAGAGATCAACCCGCTCTCATTTAGGCACCTTTCAGACATTGGAAAAGAGCAATAAGGTCTCCCCTCAGCCTCTTTTTCCTCAGACTAAACAGCCCCAATTCCTTCAGTCTCCCCTTGTGGCGCATATTCTCCAAGTGCTTCACAATCCTTATTGCCCTTCTCTGGACCTGCTCCAGCACCCCAATGTCCTTTCTGTACTGAGGTGCCCAAAACTGAACACAGTACTCGAGTTGAGGCCTCACTGATGCCAAGTACAGGGGCAGGATGACTTCCATAGTCCCGCTCACCACTCCATTCCTGATACAAGCCAGGATGCCATTGGCCTTCTTGGCCATCTGGGCACACTGCTGTCTCATATTCAGCTGACTGCTCATCAGTACATCAAGGTCCCTTTCAATCAGGCAGCATTCCTCCACTCCTCCCTAAGCCTGTAGGGCTGCCTGGGGTTGTTGTGTCCAAAATGTAGGACCTGACACTTATTATCACTTATTTGGTATATGATTATGTTGTTTTTATATAGACTTCTGGAAATTTTTGTCATAAAAGTCATTTGTCCTCCTAGAGTTCATCTTTCAGAATGCTGAAAAGTAATCTGAGGAATGAAAGTATGGTCTCACTTAACTAGAGTATATGACGAGACAATGATGTTTGTTTAAAGATGCCTGACACCCCAACCTGTTGGGAAACTGCTGAAATTAGACTGGCATTTTGCTTTGGTAGAAGAAGTTCTATCTATGTATACAGTTTAGGGCTCCAATCATTTCAAATCCAAAAGTGAAAGAAATTAAACAGGAAAGGTTTAGTAAATGCAAAATACTACTCTATTCCTTAGGATTCTTCTACATAAATTATTTTTTATTAGAACTTAATCTAAACTAGTTTTAAAATGCCTCAGAGCTTTTTCCTTTTACACAGACTAATAGATCTTCATTGGAACATTTGTCTAGATGCCCTTATTGATATTTTTTCAACTTCCATCTATTGAGCTGTTTCTGTACACCCTGGAGACAAAGTAAATAATCTCTTTCTCTACTTTTCCATGTACTAGTCAAATAATAATAAATGGTTACAGCTTCAATTTAGCCAAATTTACTTACTTATTTTGTAAATCTTATCATACACAACACCACAAACACCCACACACTCAGCACTATGTTTCTTTCATCAACAAACCAACACATCCATCAGACACCAAGAGCAAAGATGGCAACTGAGGAAGTTTTGGGGAATTTTGGGGGAAAATTCACATGGGGAAACATCAAAGAGTGCTGCTACAAAAAAGACAGCTGTGTAGTGCTTACCACAAGAGTGAAGGAAGCCTCTTACACAGGGCTGCAAGTACTTTTTACACCCATACAGGTAGAGGTAACAAACTATCACTCAGCTATCATTAAGCTGCTCCAGATACCAACAATTGTCAAATTACTTTCAGTCATATTCTTGAGGTTCTTTAAAAATAAGTCAGCTGTATTTTTTTCTTCTGACCTTTCCTTTGTAAATAGTTTAATTGCAGAAATAGTCAAAGATGGATTTAGATGCTACTTTCTAGAGGCAATGCCTCTCTTTTACACCCTCTTGAAAGCTGTCAGTCATTGATGAGTTGACAGCGAACCCTTGAACTGCAAATACTTGAACAGTACATCTCAAAATATGAGGCCTGATCCATTCTTATATCACAAAGAACTGGTCAAGCAGTTCGTCCAGAATGTGATCTGGATCCTGTTACTGAGGATTAACGAGGCAGCATTGCTGCTTTGCACTTGTAAAACTAACCATATTCTCTTTTTGGCCAATATTCATAGAAACCTTTTATCATTTACAAAGCTTCCTATAAAAAGCTAAGAGGGAAAAAAAAAAAAAAAAAAAAGACAGCTTTTCGATCTGAAGTCTGCAGTAATTCATGCTGTTACAAAAATTTAACAGCATTGATCTCCATGTAGAAATCCACCTTACATCAGAAGAAAATAAATGAGAATAAAACATTGTCCATGAAATAATCATTTGAGAATTTTTTTAGACAAATTAAACTGCAGGTCATGCTATGGACATATTTTCAACCATATCACAAATCCCTTTGAAAAAGAAGGAAATGAAATCTGAAACAAAGAACTTCTGGGGAAGATGGAGAGGAAAATGGCAAAAGTCCAGAGAGCCATGGCAACTGAAACATACTAATTTAACTCACTTTTCAGAGACAAGTGTGTAAGGATATAGTGCAATTTCATGTATTATCTTGCATTTACAACATATACATCTACCTGTTTATAGGTTATTTCCTACAGAAATTCTGTGTTCTGTTGCTCTTTGAATTATCTAAGTATGCTTTCCCTCTGGAAACCAGAATCTTTGACTTTAAAGAAGATTGAACTACTCTGATTAATTTTATAACTATTTTCTTTGCATTAGAGAAATAAAGCCACATAGAAGAACATTCAAGTAGCCCTGGTATTTTCTGTAATGCTGCTGGAATAATTAAGCAAGCAGAATCTGAGGCTCTTTATTTTTAGCAGATATATATATATGTCTATAAAAGAATATTTTTCCACCTAATACAACAATTTAATTGAATCAATGGTGACATACTTGATAAAATTACATTATAATTGTAGTGCTTTAGAGCAAGCTATATTAAGGTATGACTCATCACTCAATACATAAGAAGGTACAGAAGTACGACAAGTCCAGCAGTTCAGTGCAATATACTGTAGCTTCAGCCAAAAATGAAATTTAAAGGCAGCAATCTTTTGTTGATAAGTGGGAGAAAAAAAACAGTTGGAAAGCATGACCACGAATTCGAATTTTATTTTACTTTGATGAATTAAGTTTTAAAAGTGACAAATGAATAGCTGTATAATTACAATTAAGATTTACTTAATACAATTTAGTATTTCACACTTCTCTGGCAAAACATATGAATTTACTTTATTGAAAAGGGAGAACTAGTCCACTCCTCAACTGGTGAAATAATTGGCGAAGTGGAAATGCAAAGATGGAATTTCCTGAGGTAGTTAGTTTTTTTATTAGAATACTTTATCAATAATAATTTTGAAGGATAAGCTGTACAGTGTAACAGTCAGGCATAAAGCACAGCATTTCCCATGAAATATTTTGAATGATTTACTGTAATAGAATTTTGTGGAAAACAATTCTTACAAAACTGCAGAGCCAGAGTATATGCATATTGGATAGAACTGTACTGAAAAGTTCTTGCTTGAATAAGCCCTACTTATTACGTGAAATGTATCTTCTATTACCTCCTATCTATTAATAATTTCTTTGATATTAAAGATAGACCCCATTAAAGATATTAAATAACATACTACTATACATTGTACATCGTAAGCAAAGTTAAAAGCAAAGTTCTCTATCAATAATTGTGATGTTTTATACTTACCAGGTGTAAAATTATATCGAGCAGAAAACCCCATAGATTCCAGCTCACCATCAGCAAAAAATTTAATCCACAGAAATCTGCCACTGGATTTTATCATAGGTGGATTTTGCTGTCCACAGAAACGTCCAATGATTGGAGAAAAGCCAAAAGGTCCATCTCGTACTTCAATGTGATCAAATTTACATTCCCAAGAAGGCTCTATGGAATATTTTTCATCAAAGTGTAGTTCAATGCATTGTCTAGGGGCAGCTGGAGATGGAAAGAAAATTACTGTATTATTTTCTAAAGCAAAATCCTTCAAACTTGATACAAAATTAAGAGAATCAAACAATTTTTATACACCTTAACATACGAATCTTAACATTGTCCATAGACAAAACAAAACAAAACCCCCTATGTTTGAAAATTATTACTTAAAAAAACAACAACAACAAAACACATTGTTTTACTCATCTATTCACAGAAAAATGTGTAATTTTTTAGTAAAATTAAAGGAGATATCTATGACGTAAAGCAAAATACAATTTAGGAACAATTATGTAAAACACAACAGCTTTCTAAGAATCTTATGTATCTGAAAAAAACAGCCTTGTCTTCTATTTGAGGGGAAATACGAATCAGAATACTTTTAAAATTAATACAAAGATGAAGAAAAGTCTGTTCGGAACTGTGGTATAGCACTAAGCACAAATTCTGTTCCCATACATACGGTAGTCAATGCAGATCTGAGTAAAATTCATATCAATTATCTCATTAAAACATGGAAAAGTAAAGATAATTCACATTTAAGAATAAAGATGAAGCAAAAGTAATTTACTAAAGAGCAAAAAAATGTTATTTAGAATAACCTTGAAGAAACTTTATAGTGGCCATTTTAGACAAAACAAACAAGCAAGCAAGCAAACAAACAAAAAACAAAAACACTTTAGCGATAGGTACTAAAAATCTGAATTTCACAAGGCCAACTAGTTTTAGGATCAAAATGTTGCTGTAGCTTACTCTCCTCTGCTTTTGCTTATTTTCCAACAACGCCAAGACAAGGATTTTTTCAGTCAACCTCAGTTCTTGCTAAAGGATCGAAGAAAATCACATCAGCTTACGGAGTGCCCAGGGAAGAGTTTCTATCTTTCCACCAGGTCTCCCATGCTTAGAGGCTGCTCTGCTTTAAGAATGGAGCGCTGACCATTCATCAGCTCTGCTTCTCCACTGCTAAATAAAAGAAGGCCAGGGAGTGAGTCTAGAAGCTGGTAACTGACAGTTCTCACTCCATAACCATTAAAATCACCTGCTAGAATGATTTTGGCCCGTGACAGTCAGAATTCCAAGAAAGTCTTCTTAGGCATGATGTGGTTTTCCTCATCAGCCAAGGACCATTCACAACAAATGGTTTGGATCTGTACTGGTCACTGGGAAGATGAAAGGAGCTTATATGTTCCTGCAGATTTGCACCAATTAGTCTTAAACCCAATGAATGTTTCCCAATTGATTGTAGTCTGTGTCACAAATTTCTCTGCACACTAGCTCAAAGGATGATGGCTCTTTTCTCCTGACTCTTCTCAGGAATTCAACACTTTCTGTTTCCATAATTACAGTGACTGTGGTGATTACAGAAGACTGAGCAGAGATTGAAAGGGATACTAAGTAAGCATTCATGCTACCTTTTCTCTACTTTTATATGCACTTCCCTGCTTCATCTTAGAGGAAAAGGTTAAACATTTTGTTGCAATAATCTACCAAAGTGATCCAGACCTTCCTGAAAATGATAACAAGAGATAAAAACACAATTCAAACTCCCAGCTTTATCTACACTTTAGAAACAAACAAACAAAAATCTTTTCACAGTTTTACTCTGAGTTTAGTAAAAGGTTTTCTTGCTATAAGTAAACTAAAGCAAGCAGGTACTCTATGAATATATACCTTGTGCCACAGCTTTCTTTCTGCAACAGTGTATGCAAATATAATCACAGTAAGCCTTATGGAAATACAGTGACTAAAATAATGACTAAGAACAAAGTATGCATAAGTACTTACACACACAGACACACACGAAAATTAAGTGAACAGACAGGGGGGAAAAAAAAAAAAAAGCATAAAAAGCATTTATTCCATACTGGATTGGAATCCACTGTCTAATCAAAGGAGGAGGGATGAAATGATCCTCATTCACAGGTAAATCACATTCACATCTAACATATTCGAAGCTTATTTTGTGACTACAGTGTCACAGAAAAAGTTTCTGCTGTGTTCAAATGAATTTCATATTGAAGCTTTATGTTGAAGCTACCTCAGAAATTTCAAATCATAAGTTCTTCCGTAGTTAACTTCCAATTATGTTTCTTTAAAGACATTTAATATGGCAGAAAAGCTACTTAATGTTTACATTTGTCATCTTTTAAATCTAATTATCTTTTACAAGAGCTGTACTAAGATTTTACAAAAAAAGTCATTTGGGTTCCAGCTAAAGAAGAACATTTGCAATAAAACACACAATTAGGATTTAGATTCTGATCAGTCTCTGAGACCGTAAGTGACAATGGAATTTAAGCAAAAAATGTTTCAATTTACCAGACAGCATAGAAATGAAAAATCAAACATCATCTATCTGGGATACTACAGTACTAACAGTTTTGAATGATCCATAGTATTTCTGGTTGTACAGCTATTGTTGATGGGAAAGACACTTACAATCTCCTTTGAAAGAGGAATTTTTCTTTGTTTTGATGAATATTTTTGAACACAAAAAATCAACCTGAAATATGAAAGGACTTTGAGAGGTGATAATTTTTATACAGGTTAACATCTAGGAGTAAAGAGTTTAATGTCTTTAGGAAAAAACATGGAAGATTTTCAAAAAAACTTACTCTGAACTTCCACAAGGATATAAAGTGTAAGATTTACTTCATAAGTGAAGCGATACTTTTCTTCATAAGCAATTCTGGTCCATAACTCTATTTATACATAAGCATTTATTTAGTAAAAACTGAAGAGCTGATAAAAACACATAAGTATTAAGATTATTTATTTCCAAAACAGCTCTTAAAATATACTACGTAAAGTATGACGGTCCTACTGCCCACATATTTTTAACACCAACAAAAGATTGCTTCTAAAAAACTCCTATTTGGTTTCCCTCTACAGTATGTGTGCCCAATTTTCTGCAGTCTGGCAAAGTCTAGTGCTGCTCCTGCGTTTGTTCCAAGCAGCTGTGAATTTTGCCAGGTAAGAGTCATGAACATGTGAAACAAGGGTAAAATTAGTCCCAGCAGAGAACTTAATATGTACATTCAGCTATTTCCTATGTTCTCTATATGCCCAGTAGGATTGAACAAAAAGCAACAGCAACAACAACAAAGAAGAAAAAAATCTTGATTCATATTGAAAGGTAGATGGGACTCACCAGAAGCTGCTTTACAGCATAAAATTTTTTGTACTGAGTCCAAGACTTCTGGATGACCTAAAGCACTTCTTTTAGAAAGGCATCCAACCTGGACTTCAAAAAATTCTGCTTGTTCCAAAAGTTAATTGTCATTACAACCAAACGAGAAGTGAAAAAAAATGAAGGAAAAGAAAGAAAAAGGAAAGAAAAAAGAAAAAAAAAAAAGGAAAGAAGGAAAAAGAAAAAAGAAAGTTCTAGCTGTTTGATCTGTTTGCAACTTTGACTGCTAGTATAGACTCTACAATCAAAAATCCTCTTCACTTTTAAAAGCTCACTGTGTATGATCACAGCAATTTTTGCCAGCTTTTTACTTCACCAATATAATTCTGAAATGATAAAAGGCTTGCATACACTTAAGATGACTTAAAATATGGGGGAAAACTTGCATCGTGAGATGAAAATCAATTTTATTATAACAGACTATCTGCTGCAGTGCTCACTTGAATCCTTTAAAGTCAGTCAGAATTGTATTTGTGGGAAGCCATCAGAATTTACCCTTGATAGTACTTGATAGCAAAAAATGAAGGAAAGAAAGAAAGCATGCAGGAAAGAACCTGCTGAGCCATATATGTATTCATAGTTGGTTACACAGTAGTCAAAACTCTATGGTACTGGCACAATGAGCTAAGAAATGCAAAGAAGAGATCTCAGTATAGGAATGCTAGTCTGGATCACATCAACACTCCCTGTCATTTGATACTTGGAATATAACAGCAGACAGAAGCTACTCCAAGCATGCTGAATCTCAATAATAAATATAGGAATGAGATGTAAAGAGAGATGTTTATAGACATTTATGTCTTGGATTAGAAAATATTACAACGTACAAAAGATATGCAAGAATATCTTCATTGGCTAGCCTTCTTTGTCATTTTATGCTGTCTTTATCCATTGTAAAAAGAGTTGGAACAGACACATCACTTTAAGTACAGAAGATTATTTTTTTCTACTTCAGTGTGTCTCCTTTTGCCCTTTTCCAAAACTGATACTACTGAAAGTATGGTTTCTAAGACATCTCTACATTTTGGTGGTTTTTTTTAAAACATTCTATTCTTGACCATTTTGGAAGACAAAAATAGGCAGAGTCAAATGTGTTGTGCAGTATGCATGGTTCCCACTAAATTACATATTACAGATGACATCATCATAGGTTTTAAATTATCCAGTTGGAATCCAGACTCCTCAGTACAGTTGGACAAGAAGCAAGAAGCCTAAAATCGATTTATCCCATAGAATATAAAGATGTCTGCTGAATTCAGATTATTTCCTGCACTGCATAGAAATTACCACAGAATTGTCAACATATAATTTCATCATCTAGAACACAGATGTTTGATTAAATATTTCCTTCCTATACTTTGACATTTCCAATTTGAGCTATTCTAAAGCAGTCTATTTGAATAGCAGATTTTACCACTTTTCATTTTATTATCTTTTCATAAGTAGTTAAAATAATAAAGACAGGTCCTTACAATAAATATTTTTCTGGCACCTTCTTACTAACAGAAGGAATTCCTCGTGGCTTAAGAGACTGGATTATGGTTTACAGAATTGATGGGTTTTTATTGTTGTTGTTGTTTTTCTGTTTGTTTTTTTTTCCCACTACCTTTCTCTTTGCGCCTCAATTCCTAGAAAATAAAACAGGCATGTTTCCTCCCCTCCTTAGAGCAATGTTGAGATCATTTCACTGCAGTGTGCAAAAAGACCTGGATGTAGCAACATAAATGATACAAAAATATCACAAAAATATAATACTAAGTAGAACATATAGACCCTATATATTCATTATTATTATTGATTTTCATTGCTGTTTCAAAAGTACTTTTAAACTATGAAAGAACTGAGATGCTTACCATACATCTGCTTAAATTCTAGACTTATATTGGAAGAATTATGGAAGACTGTAGAAGCATAAATTTATCTCAAAGGGCTTGTTGACTCCCTTATTTATAACCATCTCTTTACTTCTGACTTCAGTCAGTTTACTTATCACTAAAGTGTAATTCAGATATCTCACTTATTTATTTATTTTCTTTTCATACTATACAACATTTACCATCCATCATTTCCCTGAAAGATTTTTATGAAATATGTTTCTATTAGTAACTCAGCACTAGGTTTGGAAAGACAAACTGTTTTCTCTAAGTTTATTTTGGAGGATTCTAAAGCAGCTAATTTAGTTAGAATGATCTATACAGCTTTCAAAATCTCTCTTGGAACAATCAGTATCTTTAAAAAAAAATAAGTATTTCTACAATTCCTGATTCCAGCACATTAAATTAATAGTTCTGTCCAACTCAGCATGGATAGGGCAATCACCAGTGTTGTATTTTGCATGTAATCACAACTCATTATCTTTTTAGTTTCAGAGTTCTACCACTTCTGTTCCTGATTCATCTTTTCTGTTACTAACTTCCAACAGTATCTAACCTCTTGTTACCTTCAGCAGATTCCTTTTTACAGGAATCCCTTCACATCCATTTTGCTAAGATTCATGAAAAGAAATTGCAGGTATGTAATAAGCCTTTTTTACAACTCCAGACCTTCAACTATCTACTCATTGAGAACTGAATCTTACATCTACTATTTTCTGTGTTGTTTTTCCTAGATGTTGTTTCATTTTGTTAATCTCCTTATTTTCTTATGATTACTTGGGTAGAAAATATTTTTATACTTATTGTATGGATGTTTTCTGCATAATCTTCTTTACTGTACTTCACCTAGCTGTGCTTGCCATCCCTGATTCAGTTATGACATGTTTAAAAATTGATGTGAGGAGTCAAAAGCATTTTAGTTTCCTGTGTTCATGCCTTTTATTCATTTTAAATATTCTGGTTTCTGTCGTATTACAGCTTTTTTAGGTTCTATTTATTCTCTAAAATAAATAATACTGTTTATTCCTAAGTGACTTATGTATACTTGACACCTAAACTATTTTATTAGTCTGTTAGGAAAGCCAGCATTTTCCAGTATTTTCTAGTATGCTTTCCAATGTTTTTTAATTTTTTTATTAAAAAAAATTGCTGAGATAGAACTTTTCTAAATCTTGCTTCTTGATGCTATCATGAACTTAGAAGCTTTATCTACCCTTCACACACAGCAAAATAAAATACTTTTTTGACAGTTGATAGACTACAAAGATTCATTGACTGTTCACCTTCTATAATGTAGACACACTCTCTGTCAGGAGGATACTTGTTGGGATAATTGGGAGAAGTGAAGATGCCTCCTTCCGCATATTTTGTCCAAGTTCCACACTGCACTGGTTTCTGTCCTTCGGCAGTAGTCTGCTTTTCTGTGAAAAGATGACATTAAAAATCATATGGTTAGTTTAAAAATTATGACGGCTATTTGACACTTTGAACTCCTCTACAGAACAAAATAGTTCCATCTGATGGTGGTCTCAGCTTTTTCCAGTTGTGTCTCAGTATGACCATTGACCTGGAAGAAAATTAGACTGTTCTTTATGGATATTCTCCCTCAAAATATTTTTTTCAAAGCAGAGAGGAGTCTTGAATATCTGAGGGAAGTCATCCTTACATCACCTTTTAAATTACATGCTCAAGAATCAAAGACACGAGTTTCTCACTTGTGTAGTTCAAAAAATCCAAGTGTGTGCCTTCTCAACAAGACACAAAATTAAGGAAACAAACAAGCAAAAAAAAAGAACAAAAACCATTCCAGAATTCGAATAGAACTGTTTTTAATTCACAGTGTTGTGAGCCTAGATTCACCTAACAGAGACGGGGTCACAGCCCAGAACTTTCCTCCTCCAAGGTGAGTCATCAGAGAGCAGGGTCAGTCCTCATTTGCTAGCCCTGAAACTTCTGTGTTCCCTTTCTGCACATTGACAGAGAGCTTGAAGACTTTAAGATTTTAATCTTTTCAGGCTGAAAAGGATGAAGAATTGCTTTCTGGACATAGTGCTTTAACTAGTAAGCCAAAATAAGATGGATTTATTGGAGGAAAAAAAATTTAGACTTGAAGGGACAGCAGGCTCTAGGAAATGCACCAGGTTTTAGAGTTCACAGGAATCAAAAATGGCCTCCTATGCTTAGCTCCCAGCCAGGTGCCTGTATCCAAGTCTGTCCCACCAAGACTTTCATGTTCAAGGCCGAATTGTTTGAGGTTCTTAAGATCAATGGAGGGAGACGGGCACCTTTCAAGCATGATTTTAACCACCTGAGATCTGCCTCAGATTCTGCATGCATTTCTCTTTCTTCATGGTCCATATACAAGTTAAGAATGAAATGGATCCTGATCCTCTGAAATGAATTCAGGTTTGCAGGGAGTGAGCATTCAGACACACACTGTGCTGAGCATCCTCCCTGCTTGACCATCAGCTCACTTAGCATGCAGGGTTTTGAAGGCTGTTTTTCTATCCCCACGCTGCACAAGGAGCCAGGAAGCCTGATTTCACATTCTGAATTCTATTTCAGCAATCAAAAAGATTTTGAGACAAAATTACTTGGTACCAAATATGAACACTTAGTCTGAAAGAGAAGGCACTTTGCAACCACTAGATAAGGTCAGGTGGAGCCTTTAGTTAAATTTAGCCATGGATAAGGTCACTAACTTGTTAAAAAATCACCACTGGATTTTTGGCAGTTTACAGACTAAAAACAAATGAACAAGCTATAGACACTGGAAGTAGGTGGACTACAAAAAATTTCCAGACCTACATTAACAACTTGCATCCAAACTTAAGACTGTAATATAATATCTGAAAAACAAGTCTGAAGTTTACATACCTGTTCCTTTTTTGGTTGCCCCAGACAAATGTAGGATGATTAGACTTGCTACGACTGAAAGAGAGATTTGCATTAGATATAATAGTGTCTGCAATTAAATCAAATGTAAACATCTGAAAAGAACACAAATTAAATAGAATTACTGTAAAAAATTCAGTATTTCATGTGTACTTGTATCCTTAAGTTTCACTTTTCATATGAACTCATTTGCATGTAATCTGCCCACATGTGTTTATCTTTGTAAAAGTATTCAAATAAAGAGGAGAACTATTTGGCTTAAAATACAATTTCCAAGCATTAATGTTTGCCTCTTATTTTATTTTCCCTTTTTTAATATTACAAAACTTTTTAGCAATATTTATTTATATAATCATAGCTTGGGCCAGTAATAAAAAAAAAAAAAAAAAAAAAAAAAAAAAAAAAAAAAAAAAAAGCTGTATTCAACCAAAGTAGACAAAGACCTATTAAGTTTCAGTGCCACTGAATCACTTTGGTTTCTTATCAAGGCATAATAAAATTAAAAAATAAGCACTGGGACTTTGAAAGAAGTGAGGGCTGAGGTTTTCATATGCAAATCATCAGTGAAATAAATTATTGTGTGTATTTAATAGTCTCATTAATCTAGTTTGTTTGACTTGACCAGAGTATGTTGCTTTATGCAGCAGTTAAGCTTCAGTTTGTTTCATAAATAATCTCCAACCATGATAGGACAGATGTGGCTCTTGGGAACAAATATAGAATTCAATTTGGAGACAATTCTTGAGTTTTGGGTATTACAGAATATAATGTTTCAACTAGAAAAAGCTAAGAGGGAAATGTTCAGATCAATAGTAGTTCAGATTATTTTGCTTCAGAAGACCAAAATAACTAACCAGCTCTCTGATGAAGAAATCATGGAATGATCATGTTGAGGCATTGGCACAGCTGCCCAGAGAAGCTGTGGTGCCCCATCCCTGGAGGTGCTCAAGGCCAGATTGGATGGGGCCCTGGGCAGCTGAGCTGATAGGGGCAGCCCTGCCCTTGGAACGTGGTGGGGCTGGGTCCCACTAATTTTAAGCCATTCCATAGTTCTATGATTTTTTTTCCCACCTCCCTGGTCTTCTCTAGCAATTTCCAGGAGAAAGTGGGATAGCAAGAGCATGAGTTCCTGGAGCGCTCAAGATTTTGACCCCAGTGAGTTTGGCATAAAACCCAAACTTAGTGCCCAGGCAAGACTAAAGTTAAAGTGGAGATGAACTTGCCTGTTTATCCTGAGTATTTTGGATACATCAGCTTGCGTTTGTATCATTGACTATATGGAGGAATTGGTAGTCTTCAACACATATAACTGAATGATATGCTTTCCTATTCTTATCCTCAGTGGTCCTGAAAATAGTTTAGCTTTGAGATTTATTTCTATGCCTTTGACCCTTCCCATGTGACAGAAGGTTTTAGGTGTGCACGTCGACTACCTCATTAAGCAAGAAAAGGTTGAAGTGCTGGGAAAATAAAGTCCTGGCAGCACGTTCTCTATTTCTTGGTCAGGCTCACAGTCCCTGTGTCTTTCTGATTCTCCCAGCTAACAGAGACAGGATGTTGGCAGGGCTGATAGTTAAAAACTCTTCTGCGTCTTGGGCATTCAGTGAGAACATTGCATCTTCTGCTCAGATCTGGATGCTACCCAACCATTCATGCCCTTACGCTCCTCAGGGATGGATTCTGGAAATGCATTCTTGCTGGGATTCTGACCATCGGCTATGTCAGAATCTGGAGGCAATGAAGGTTTTGCGCGTTGCTCATTTACTTAGTTGTGTTTCATGCAGTGAACACACTGCATCTATGTGCATAATTCTCGCCAGCTGAAACCAAATTTCTCCTTAGTTAAGGAGGCTTGGTGCTAGAATGTGGAGACAGCATTCTTTATGAAAGCTAGAATGAGCAGAACAGTAGCTAAACAAACACTATGTGAGAAATGTTTCTTCTTAGGCTATTAATCACAGTTCATGTCTTTTTATTAAAGGGTCCCTTTATCTATCAACTCTTCTAAATGTTAAAAACTGAAGTCAAGAAAATTAAAGAGACTTGGTCCAAGTCACTGAGATATAATTACAGATATGATAGAAAAACACAGGTCTTTTCAATTCCAGCTAACCGCTAGAAAGAGTGCTTCCAAGTTGCAGAGCTGTGTTATTCCAAAGCAGGGAGCTACACTGACTTATCATCACAGAGTCAAAACAAATTTGACAATAAAATGTAAAATGAAAAAAAAAAAAAAAAAAAAGCAAAGATTTTTTTCTGCATATATATCATATCCATCACTTGAAATGAAATACCTCTCAAGTCTAAAAAAAAAAAAAAAAAGATTTTTTTCTTGACACGGTGGCATTAACACCAGCATTGCCAAAATACATATGGTGCCAGAAAGTAATTAAAACTGGGGGGTTGACAGGGAAAGATAACATGATACCTTTCACTCAAGCAGTCATGATAGTTCATTCTATGCTATGATCTCTTGCATTTTTCTTTTTCAAACCATCAGAAAAGAACATTTTCACAGGAAAAAAATAAAATAAAAAGACCCCTCCAAAGAGACCAATCACACTGTCTTTACACATTCAAAGCTGTCACTTGGGAATCTTTAGCAGTACACCAACAATATTGACATTATCTGGGTTTGGGAATTATTTCAAAGAGTTTCTACCAAATTTCTTGTTGCATTCTCTCTGCATTCTCCCTCTCTTTCCTCTCCTAATCATCAGTGTGATTATAATCACATTTTCTATTTCCACTGATTGCGCATCTTTGAATCTTTATGGATTTGTGCATTTTCCCATTGCAAGCCTCATATTAAGAGGTTTATCTCTCTGCCAGGAAGCTTTTTGGAGGCTATGATTTGGCATGAATGTGGTTTAGCCTAGTGAAGAGTTTTTGGAAAACCTATACCCAGTCGTAGCACTGTTGTTTTACAGGTGTGGGCGCATAGCGAGGTGGTGAAAGAATTGTACCCCTCCAGCAGTGAGGATCCTCTCCAAAACTGTGTCAGGAGGAGGGGGTCCTACCACGCAGCCCGAGGTCTCGGTGCATTTCTGTGCCCCCCGGAGGACCCCTCGGGGGTTGTGGGGGAACAGCCTGTGCAGAGCCCACGGGCGATGGGTGCAGCGCTGCTGGAGCCTCGCACCCCCTGGCCACCCCTGGGACCGCCGGTTCTAGTCACGAGTGGGGCAGCAGGGGGGCCGCTTCCCCTCTCCCCCACAGCACGCCGAAAGCCATTTTCGCACCCAGGTGAAAACCAACAGACAGCCCGAGCGGGAGCTCGGGGGAGACACAGACCTCCCCCCACAGCACCGCAGGGGGGTGCTGGGGAAGGGGCGAAGGGGGTGCTTTGGAGGGGGGGAGTTTGCCATGGGGTCCCGTAGGACGAGTTGTGGGGGCAGCGGAAGGTAAGGCTAGGCGGGAGGAGATACTCACTGTGAAGGAAGCTGCGCCCATGGGTCATGTCTGTGCCTTACACAAGGGGCTTCGGTCTCCACTAATTCCATTTAGATACGGGAGGACTTCCAGTGGCAGGGAGAGGATGGAAGTAGGAAAAGAAAAAAGAAAAAACAAACAAACAAAAAATCCAAACCAAAACAACAAAAAAAACACCAAAACGCGGAGCCCACACACAGCGGAGCGGAGCAGCCCTTCTTCCCGCTCGCTCTCTCCCTCGCCGCCTTCCACCGATCACGGCCGGCTCGATCCCATCACGGCGAGCTCCCGGCAGCACTGCCGGCAGCGGAGCATCGCGGCAGCGGGCACGGCGGCGACCCGCGCCTCCAGGTGCCGGCGAGCTGCGGCGGGGCGAGCCGAGCCTTAGTCCCCAGCTTCATACAGAACCCAGAGCGGAGGGAAACATCTCCTGCAGGACTCCGCGCCCAGCGACTTCCAGCCCTTCGGCTTCTTTTGATGCATTGAAGAAGGGATTAATGGGTCCGTCATCAGCTCCCCGTGCTTGCTCCTCTGAAGGGGTGGGGGTGGGAGGGAGGGAACCCAAAGAGGAGGGGTGGGGGAAGAAAGATTTACCAAATAGGGGATTTAGTCATATTTGTGTGCAATGCGATCCTTATTAGAGAAGAAATCCTTTAAAATCGAACAAATCCATTTTGCAAAAGCCTCTCTCTCCCTGCGCGTTGCGTGGTATCAAGTGGTTGCAGCGGCGAGAGGCTGAAAACACATGGCACCGTCTGAAGTCCTCTCGGGAACGGATGGAGCGAGACGGAGACGGATGAGGGTTAGTGATATCCCCTCACTGCTCCGGTCCGGGGCGAGGAGCAGGAGGAAACCCTGGAGGCTATTCCACTCATCCAGAGCAGGGGAAGGGAAGGGGAGGGGAGGAACGGGGAGGCGGCAGTGCTGGAGAAGGAACGATTTCAGAACTGGAGAAGGAAGAGTGAGAGAAGAGGGGTTGTTTCCCCTCGTCCCTCAGCTCACGGATGAGGGAAATGCTCTCAGTCCCTCCCTGAGCTGCACCTGATGCCAACCGAAAGGATGCTCCCCTTGGAGAAGAGGCTTCTCCATTTGCACGCACGCACTCACAAAAGGGAGCAATAAAAGTTTCTCCTCTAATCCTCCAACCGCAGATACAATGATTGCCTCTTCCAATCAGCCCTTAGACGACAGCAAAATCTCTCCCGTTAGCTTCCCCTCTCCCTCTCCCAAGCTTATCCGCTTCCTCAGCTATATCCCCCCCACCCCCAGGCCCTCATCCCTCTGGCTGCGGAGGGAGAAGAGTGGGGCAAATACACTGAGAGTACTGAGACAAGGGGAAAGGATTTCAGCGAGAAAAAGCGGGGCGGACAGAGCAGACGCCCACAGGAGAGGGTGGCGGATGGAGGGGGCACATAGCACGAGGGAGTGAGGGGAAGGAGGATCTGTGCCATTGGGGTGCGGGGGAAGCGGGCGGCCGCTGCTCCACACCCGCACCTGATGCTCTGCGCTCTACGGGAAAAGTGCGTCTGGGGGCGGGGAGCTGCCAGGGAAGGGGCTGCAAAGAGAGAGAAGCTAAAATCCGACCCGGGATCCGCACCTGCGCGCAGCAAGCAGATGGCACGGTGCGTGCCCGCGGCCGGGCGCGGAGGGGCGATGCGCGCCCGCGGAGCGGGAATGCTGCTGCCTGGGGGAGGGGAAAGTACCAGCTGCAGGACCACTGTGTTAGGGCAGATTTTTAACGAGCCGAGGGATTATTTGCTGCCTTTGGGACAGCACTGAATTGAGGAGGGGAACCATATGAAACCCTCAGGTTTTTTTTGTTGTTGTTTTCCCATTAAGTCACCATACTATAACAAAGAACATCATTTTTATTCACACTGTGGATTGTCTGCTCTGTACTCTGAAATCAAGGAAATATTTTCCATTGGCCCTTATGATTGCAGGCAGTCAGTGCAGCAGCATGCATCTGGCGGTGGAGCAGAGGGGATCCTGGCTGGCAGAATTATTTGCTAATGTGGCCATCAGCCATTACACCTTCAGCCTGGCCTTGTGCCTTCGCGAGTGATGTGGGGTGAGAAGGGCACAGCCACAGGATTCTGCAGAAAGCACTCTACAATAAGGAGTGTAGCAAAAAGAAGACTGTGAAAAGATTCACCTGTGTTTTGTGCAGTCTATCTTGCCATTAGCAACATCAAGCCTGCAGCTGTTAATCTTAATAAACTGTCCTGCTCTGCTTTTCAGCCCTCTCAGCGCTTTCTATGACCTTCCCTATTCTCTCCCACCTCAAGTTAAAGAACTTCATTTGTTCCGTAATTGAAAGTCTTCTGATTTATCCATAGGATAAACTTCTGTACTACAGATGTGCAGTGTGCCTTAGTCAAGCAACAGTAGAATAACTGAAAAAGGATAATGCTGAGAACAGTCAGAGAAGTGTTTATAGGCAGTCAGATGTTTTTTTGGCAGGGTGATGCAGCCATCCATATGGCTAAGTTTCAAGTTATAGTTATTTAAAAGAAGGTTAAAGAACAAGTAGGCACAAAACAGCTGATTTTGCTCTTCTGAGGAAATGTGCTGTGTCACACTGTACAACAGCAAGCCTTAGGGTTTTTTTTTTTTTTTTTTTTCTGAGTTGGGGGCTTATATCTTCAAATATCTCAGAAATCTTTTGGTTGGCACTCTTTATTTGAAGGTTACCACTGCAATAGTATTGACAGATAGTGACTGCTACATTGCAGGTATGCCTAAATTATACCAAAATGTAATCAGCAATTGTCATGACAGAGTAAGACATCTACAGAAAAGCTGAGGAATGGTCACAGAGACCATTATCTGTTCTACTAAAGATGCATCCTGGGGACATGTCAGGACCTACATAACTGGATGTGAAAAAGCTTGTTCAAATGTATTTATAGAATCATAGAATAGTTTGAGTAGGAAGGGGCCATTAAAGGGGCTGTTTATCCCAACTCCCCTTCACACAGGGTTTGCAAGTTAGAGACTGACCAGAACCACTTTCCAATTATACAGAGCTCTTTCTTACAGAGAGTACAAAATTTTGAACTTCATACAACCAGTATAGTCTTCACCAGCACATTCTGGAAGGCTTTATGTTTCATTTTGTCACAGAATCTGTTTGTATCAGCTTTGATAAATACTCTTCCTGAAAAAGTGGCAGCTCATCAACCAGCATACATTTTTCACTGCACTGATTTTGTGTAGGTAAATATTCATATAATTAGTGTGGACTCTTTTTTCAGCCTTTAATGAGCCAGTAACCATGTCCTACATTTCTATTGAGCAGTAAACTAATAATAATAATAATAAATAATAATAATAATAATAAAAGAATAAATGTATTCACATTTAATAAAGGGTGACCTGTTTAAAGATTTATAATTTTTAAATGGGAAAGAATAAGCATACTTTCTCAAATGACATCTTATTATTTTTTGGAATTCTCTGGATTTTGTTTGGTAAAACTCCAATTGATTTTTAATTGGTTTTAAGATGTTGGGTGTTGTTTTTTTTCAAGTTTGAAGTTAAGTTTTGTATTTTCCTTAGAATATGAACATCATCTTATTTTATTACAAAAAGTGACAGCTTTGTCTTTTATTAGCTCTTTATTGGCTGCCAGTTGAAATCTTATTCTTAAAAGTAAGCAAAGCACCCAAACACAATTGTGTTTCTTGATTCTGTACATACAGTGCAATGTTTTTTTTTTCAGTTTTAACCATCCATTATGTGGCAATCTCTCTATATAGCACAGTCTGCCAGCCTCCTTCTTTCACTTTCACAGTTGAGTTTTTCTATTGATTTTTATGAGGGTCTGTTTGGGCTCAGAAGATTTTATTCAGCAAGATATGGAGCAATTCCTTCCTAAAGTCCTGTAGTTCCTTAGGCACTGATCAGTGAGAAGATGGATAGGATGGCAGAAAGAAGACCAACCGTATGGACACAAATTTAGGCAATATGGAAGATTTTTTAGCTGAGATCTGCAAAGTGAAAGAAAAGACAAACAAGTATGAAAATATTTGTGACAGTTCTGACAGAAGCACTAGTGTGCAGTCTTTCATTTAGTGCTAAGTCAAGGATTGGACACTCAATAGATAAAAATCTTTTCCTCTGGAACTGTGTTTAGCGGTGTTTCAATCACAAAAAAGAAAAAAATAAGATTTCTGTCTTGCTTTTTCCTTGTATAGTTAATCTCTTTGTTTATACAATAAATAGAATTAAGCACCAGGGAAGAAGAAGCATGATGAAAGGGATAAAAAGGATTTTCTCCTTTTTATCATAAAGGAGAAGAAGAATCTCTTTAAATATCAGGATTGAATTAGCTTGCTTTCACTTGCAACATGTAGTAGAATTAGCAACATATGTGAATGATTTTCTCCTTGAACCAGAGGATATAGTTCGGAAAATTACTCAGTCTCAGTCAAAAATTTCCCAACGTGGAGGTACTTGAGGTAAATTGCCCCTGTAAATTTATCAGTTAAAATCTTTCTTATTTCCAGGGCCATTTCAGGTTCTCTTATCCTAGCCCTACTTTACCATTGATTACTATGTCCTTTAATAACTAAGTGAATTAATTCCTCTTGGCGTAGATAAAAAAAACTTTAAGGATTCCAAGTAGATATGAGTCACTCCCACACTCTTATACAGAAAATGCCTCGAACTGCAAGAAACAGCTAAGTTCTGAAATGGAAGAGAATTTGTTTTACAGTTTTATGGATAGCAATCTACCCTTCTGAGGGTGGGAAAGAAGAAATAAGAATGATATTTCACTTCTCTACACTTAAAAAAATAGTGTGAATTCTATGCTGATGTATGTAAATGTACTTTTCGTTATGATCTCTGCAAATGTTTTTTGTTGCTAGATTCCAAACTACGGGCTCATAATAATACAAATGTACACAGCCTGACATTTGGAAATGCTAAAATGAATCACCAAGCCAATCATCATATCTACATTCATGCTTTGGTTCAGATCAGGAGGGTGTTTTTGAAGTGAATCTCCCAATTGCCCCCACTTACTGAATTTTGGATTGCAAATTGGAGCAGCCTATTAGCGTGTGAGTTGTGTTATTTATGGATGAAACTAAACTGAAAGATGTTTCAGGATCAGTCTTGTTTGCTAGCACCTGAAGGGAAAGCAGCACACGAGAAAGTTATGCTAAACTTAAGAAACTCCCCTCAAAACCGATACTGATAATCTTATCAGTATGAAGATCTCAGCAACACCCATTTCACCTTTTGAGTAAAATCTTTTTGCACAGAATAACTCATTAGCCTGGTGTTGCCCAATATTTCTTTCAGTTAGGACAGAAGTTGAAACAATGGAAACTGGTCCTCTTTGATGTCAGGATAGTGGCATCTTCGGGTCACCTTTAAAACCAGTTCTCTTATTACCCATTTTCTGGGCATTCACAAACTTCTCTCCCATAAGTGCAAAAGGACTCTGAGGCTCCATGCCTCCAACCAAATGCCCTGAAGATAGCAGGGTTAGAGCACCTCTTTTCACTAACTTTTATTGGAAAAACATTTCTTGTTTCTTGTTGCTCTTAAAGGTAGCCTGTATTATAACAGTTAAATATCAGAAAAAAGCAACTCAATCTAAACAAGGAAAGAAGAGAGATCTGGTGCTTTTTATCTGCAGAGTTGCTAATAATTACCCCAGCATTTACTACAAGCTAATTGCTCTATGCATCTCATATATATAAGATCATGATTTCAATGAGGTAACAGACATCTTTCTACAGAATTCTTAGCTCAGCATTAGTAATAACGATGGTGGTGGTAATGATAGTAGAGTATTCCCATCTGATCTAGGCTCACTCAGAAACTGAATTAATTAAAAGGTATTTGTTGGGTGACACAGGAATTGAAAAGGCTGTTTTTGCACTGTCTTTTCTTTAACTAGAATGGTTGTCTTAAAGTGGGATGCACCCCTGCAGATGCATGAGACAGTCCATTGGAGAGGAGGAGGAAGAAAGTATTTTTTGTATCACTAGAAAATGAAACTAAATAAATTAAACAATTTTAAAAAATGTGTTTCTTTCAGGTTTATTTAATCTTTTAATTTCTTTTTTTGACATATATTTCATAATGTACATAATATACTAGTACAGTGATATATGTGTATAATGTATAAGTAAAATATATGTGTATTGGAAGGTACATACTGCAAATTCATGAACAAAAACAGATTCATGAACAAAAACTTTTGGGGATCACTGACCTAGAAAACCACTGCCAGCTGTTATGTCTGAAGTAATGATAGTTGCAAAAGTGCTAGCCAGGATTCAATTTTTATTTTATTCTTGTTTGTTCGGTTTTTGTTTTGGTGGTTTTTTTTTTGTTTTGTTTTGGTAATTCACATATTCACACTTTGGTGAATTGTTTTATCATTAAGCATAGATATATTGGTATATGAAAGAACTCTTGAAATTCCATGCTTATTATTGACAGAATCTGGAAGAAAGTTGTTAAACAGAAATATTGGAAAGCTTCCTTTCCAATTCATTTTGCAGGAGTTTTGTGATTACCACTGTGATCAAAAT